TTCCTGGTCACTCCTGGCAGTGCTCGGGGGAACAGGGACTCCCCCAATGCCTGCTGATCCCCCCTGACTAGTTTATAACAGGCCACAAGATCCCCCCTCAGCCTTCTCTTGTGGAAGCTGAACAGGTTCAGGTCCCGTCGCCTCTCCTCACAGGGCCTGCCCTGCTGTCCCCTGATCGTGCAAGTGGCCCTCCTCTGGACCCCCTCCATGCTGTCCACATCCCTCTTGAAGTGCGGCGCCCAGAACTGGACGCAGTACTCCAACTGCGGCCTGACCAGTGCCGCATAGAGGGGGAGGATCACCTCTTTTGACCTGCCTGAAATGCATCTGTGGATGCATGACAAGCTACGGTTGGCCTTCCTAACTGCCTCCCCACACTGCCAACCCACGTTCATCTTGGAGTCAATGATGACTCCGAGATCCTTTTCCGCCTCCGTGCTGACAAGAGGGGAGTTCCCCATCTCATTGAAGAATGTTTCTAACCGAAATAGGGCATCCTTTCTGGTCCCCTCCCTCAGGGGTTGAGGGAAAAATCCACGTTTACATATTAATACTGCAGCTGGGGGATGATGGCAGCAAGTGGGGCTCCCCAAGAGCTCAGAGAGCCTTGACCACTGACAAAGCAACAACAGTAGTCAAAAGCCCCGTTTTCCAAGCACTCACCATGCTATTTCTCAGCACCCGGGTGGCTAAGTCCCATCATTTGGAGATGGGTCCCATTTGGAAGTAGATGGTGTGCTCTCATCTCTACTAAAGCCAAGGCTTTATTCCAGTTTCATGAGAATTTTGATACCTGTGTGCAGCCCCCATCACATCTTTCCAGGGAAAGGGAGACAAGGAATGGGGCAAGCCCAAGGAAGAAACAGGCCAGCTACAGGCACGTGCTGCCAGCCCCTTTTCCGTATAGCCTGGGGCAGAGGACAGAGCAACTGGAGCTGCAGCCACATGCACAGGACTGAGAAGGAACTAGGAAGGAGCATGGTGGACACCATGGGAGGCAGCAGGACCAAGGCATCCACAGGCCCAATACCAGACAGTGGCTGCCACAAGCACCAAGTTTTAGGCCAGTTTTCTGTCCCACCTCAGGTCTCAGCTGCTCTCAAGGAGAGTCCAGTTGCTCCTCACCACAGCCATGGGCAGTGTCAATATGCATCAATATTGTCACGGCAACACAGGACTGGCCATGGCCCTGTCTCTAAGGGCACCAGCTTCAATCTTCAAAGAGTGGACAGAAAACACCACCAGCAATTCAGGTCTGAGCAGCCCAGCTGCCAGGCTGACAGCCGGGTCAGTGCTACGCAGACTATGGCAGAAGCTGCATCACACCCTACGCAAAGGAAAAAGCTGGCACATCCAGCTGGCTGACTCGCATCTCCTTTAATTTCAGAGCAGATAGGCCAGGGTTAACTGGGCACATTGAGCTTGGAATTGGCACATTCAAATCCGTGCAGGCCTCATTTATATTGCAGTGAAGAACATCATGTAAAAACAGCCTCACCCAAGCAAACAAGCTTCCATTTTTCCAGGCCACCCGTCACCTCCTTCCCCTTCACATTCCTGAAGAGCACAGAGACTGGCTGAGGCATTCTCCTAAAAGCCAAGACTGAGCCCATGGACTGAATAGGCCTCCCAGTCTGCGTCTCAGGGCTCCAGTGCTGGGCTTCCCCACTCCCCTCTTCTCACGTGAACTGCAGGTAATCCTTTGCATTCTGGATCCAAGCCCCCAGGGCCTGGCTACGCAGCACCTGCCAGGCCTCCTGGTAATTCGCAGCCGCTTCCTTGTACTCTTGGTAGGTCTCCAATTTCTTCATCCTGACAGAGAAAGCAACAGGAGGAGCAGGGGTCAGGTTTCCAACTTACAGGATGTTGCAATAGGGGGTGACACAGTCTCACCTTGTCTCATGCTCAGACAGGGTCATGTTTCAGCCAACCTCAGGCTGGAAGTGAGCCGAGCTAATTCTGCCCCTCCACACAAATGTGCAAGGAGGTGTGGCCGTCACCCCACAGGCAGGCACTCACTGAGCACTCACTCTCCTCAGCAGTGTTTGAACCCTCTCTCCCCACACCCAGGAGTCATTATTTGGGTTCAAACTTCACGTCCAGATTTATCTGACATTTTTGTCGATGCTTTGGAAGGAACTTGGAAATCAGAGCTGGTAAATGGCAGGTGACACCAACTGGTGGAGCAGCACCTGAGCACAAGCCCAAGGAGACCTCACCTGCTACAGGCTGCTCCCCACCCCAGCCTAGGTTTCTGGGAAGACGGGCAGGGAGCTCTGTGCTCGGAAGGAACTGGGTTTCGAGACATAAGGCCCCATCACACGATGAAAGGTCTCACGTTGGGACATTCTAGAGAGGAGCCAGGGATTGTCCTCCTGGGCCTGGCCTTCCTCCCCTACTTCTGCCACTTCCTGCAGGAGGCCAGCAAGGCAGAGCCGGCCGCAGGACTGGGGTACGAGCAGGGCTCGTTTTGCTGGAGGAAGGAGGAACCTCTGGGCTGAGGATGAGGGTACCGGTTACTTCTCCAGAGAAGAGAAGGGATATGGCAGGACAATGCACAAGGGGACTGCCCCTTTGGCTTGGCGCTCTCCCCTCTTTCCCACCTCCCACACAAAGCCTCCAGTCAGCTGAAACTTGCTCTGCTCAGCACCGCACAGCACAGACCAGATGTTGTCCTCTGAGTCTGAACACGCAAGTGCTCAAGCATGAAACAGTCCCTCAGAGTCAGAGCCCTGGTCCTAGTAATCCATCGTGACTTTGTTTACTGCGCTCCTGGTGCCTGCCCAGCGGGCTCTTGCATGGACAGCCTGTGACAAGAGTCACCTGGGCTGTGGCTGCAGTGTTCAGGTGCGTACAGCTCAGCGCTCGTGCATTTCACCTCTGGTCCCTTTAGCTTTTGTCATGTTACATACAACACAATACACAAAGGACAGTCCTGCGGAGTAAGCAAACCCTCTCCGATAGGATATGATACAAGGGCATACACCCAACAACCGCAGGCTTCTGCTGCAAGATGAGTGACTACACCCTGGAAAACAGCAGCTCTGAATGTGCACAGACTTAGGGGTCACGATGGAACAAGAATACCTCTTGTAGTGCTGCAACATGCAAAGGAGATGCTTGGACATACAGACAGGAGCACAATGGGCTGGAGTAAGGAGGAGAGAACTTCTCTCCACATGGTAATAGAAACCTGCATCTCATACCGCTGTCCCCATTTTAAAAAGAGGTGGAACAAAGTGGAAGAAGGACACAGAAAAGGCCAAAAAATTATCTGAGGGCTGGAAAAGTACTTTATGTAAAAGCAGGAGACATAGGAAGCCTGATCTGTTCAACCAGTCAGAAGCTTGCTTTGATGATGCATTAGCACTTTCCTGGGGAACAAATGCCAGCTAGAAAAGGTTCTTTACTCTAGCACAGAAAGGCAGAGCAGAAGCCAATGACTTAAAATGAAAGCCAGAGACATTTCATTTGAGAGAGTGAGTTTTTTAAACCGCAAGACAGGAAGGACTGTTAACTACGCCCATAAACTACCGAAGGAGTGCGGTACATACTCCGAAAGCTACGTGTGGAAGCCTGCTGGGCTGATACATACTTTAAATCACCCACAAGGTAGCGGAAGAAGCTTCAAGTGCACAGGAGCAGGGAACAGATCAGTTTGGATGGGCACAAATACTCCTCGCCTTGCATCTGCCCTCTGCCACGGTCACAAACAGGCCTGTTTGCTACACACAGGCTGTTGGCCTGAGCCCCTCAGAAACGAAAACCCTTCTCACTGGGGTCATCCAGCATAAACTTCGCTAGGCCAGATGTCCGACCCCAGACTTCTGAACCAAGTTTTGTTCTCCCAGCTCAGTTAAGGCACGTGCTCAAGAGGAGGGCAGAAAAAGCGCTTCAAGGAATTCGTCAAAGCCAACTTGAAATAACGCAACATCGGTATCAACTCGTGGAAGACTACTGTCCCCCGGACCGCCACAAATGGAAGAAGAGTCCGCTGCAAGGATCTTAGTACTTTGAAACCTTATGACAACAACAGGAGACAGAAAAACAGAGAGGCAGAAACAGCGTGTCACAGGCTGAACCAAGAACCCAGCGCCACCCAGCCCGTGCAGAAACATCGGCTCGAGTGGCAAGACAGTCTGTCGATTCCAGACAGGCCTCACCAGCCATCTTCAGACCCACAGATGAGACAATCGTGGACAATCGTCCTTGACAGCAAGGGGTTGCCAATGATGATGAGGAGCAGGATTTCATGAAGACAAAGGGGAGGGGAGGGGAAGCAGAGAGACGAGTGATGCCTTTGGTCACCTGGTTCCTGGTGAACAAAGGATTAACTCCAGCTAAGCTGCTTTTCTCGCTTGTCTGAAAATAGATAAAGCAAGTCTTTCAATACTTAGGAACCTGATGGAGAAGAGGACCCGGCCACATCCCAACAGCACTAGATCCCCTGGGGCAGATGGGCACTCAAGGAGCTATTACCCAACCCATGGGAAGAGAGGTAAAGAGGGAAGAGCATGGAGGGTGCAGCTGGAGAGGCAAGTGAACCAAGCTGCCCTGGTGTCCCAAAAGTCCTAGGGGACATGCAGCTAAGAAGGAACTGACGGCCCCTCGCTCAGCACTGGCGAGACCACAGCTGGAGTACTGCGGCCAATTCTGGGCGCTGCACTTCGGCAACGACATGAAAAAGCTTGAGAGTCCAGAGAAGAGCCACCCATGTAATCAGAGACTTGCAAGGCAAGCCATACAAGGAAAGGCTGAGAGACTTGGGCCTCTTTCGCTTAAAAAGAGAAGGCTGAGAGGGGACTTGGTAGCAGCTTACTGCTACATCAGGGGAGGACATCAAGGGCTCGGTGAACAACTGCTCACCAAGGCACCCTTGAAGAAAACGGAGTAATGGCCACAAACTCCTGGAAGACTGTTTCAGGCTTAACACCAAGAAAAACTTCTTCACAGTCAGGGTGTCCAGACTGTGGAATAAGCTCCCCACAGAGGTGGTGCAATCACCTACCCTGGAAATCTTCAAGAGGAGACTGGATGGTCACCTGACCCCAGTTCTCTTTCCTGCCTAGAGGAAGGGGCTGGACACAGTGATTTTGCAAGGCCCCTTACAATCTACGAATCCATGAGGGACAAGCAGACTGGACAGCTGAGAAGCAAGGAGCCAGGGAGGGACTTTGGGAACAGAACCCTCTGTGGAGGGGTGGACCAGACTGCACGGGGCCAAGAAAAGAGTTAAAGCAGCCAGCACAGAGCTGGGAGGTGAAGTGTTGAGGAGTTGTGGAACAGCACAGACGAGGGGACACCAGGCCCAGGGTGCTGATCAGGGGGCATGACACAGTTAAGAACATGAGCACTACAGGGGAGTCAGGAAGGGATAGTCTGGACCAGACGCTGGTGGTGGCAGAGAGCAGGAGGACACAGATTGAGCAGGGAAAGGGAGGGGAAAGCAATCTGAATTCACAGAATCCCAGGGCTGTGGGGCTAGAAGGTACCTCCAGAGGTCACATCTAGTCCAACCCCTGTCTGAGGCAGGATCAGCCCTCTCCAAACCATCCCACACAAATCCATAATCTGAACTACAACAAAGACATGGCATCCTAAACTGCCACAGGTCAAGCAGCGGAACCATGGCAGCCACTATTGGGATTCATCTTAGAGGAAAAGGAAGGGAGCTGGCTTGTAGGAAGAAAGCAGTGGGCTGGCTGAGTCCGTGGCCCTACTGCGCGCACTGCCATGTGCAGCTGCTATAGCGGACAGCTACATCTGCACATCAGCTGAACTCTGCCCAAAGGAGAAGCCATGACTGCAAAATGGCAAAGGACAAAGTCAGAGGAAATGACCAAACCACAGGAATTCTGAACGCCTTGGGGAGAAGCAGCGCTACGCAAGCAGCACAACACACAGCACTCTGGTCACAAAACAATCCTCTAACCAGAGGATGGGCCAACAGAGTTAGCTGCTGCATGTCTGAACAGGGGACTATCAAGTTAGGAGCAAGGAGACAGCATTACCCCTGTACGTGGCACAAGCAAGGCCATTACTAGATACTGCATCTAAATTGGTGCCCACACTTTAAGAAGACTATTAGAGAATTGAAAAGTCCTCAGAGAAGAGCTAAAAAAAGGACGAAGCCCAATTTTAAGAGAGGAGATTCAGTTTACTGACAGATCCACGACAACTTGATCATACGCTCGGTACATACATAGGGAGGAGATAACTGATACATTCAGAACTTTAGTCAAGCAGGACCACATGCCTGAAAGTCACAGTTAGGCAAACTATCTGACAATGAGACTCACCTTTGGAACAACAGTTCACCTTTGGAATAGATGAACAATGACTGCAGTAGATCTTCATTGCTCCAAGTCTTCAGGCCAGGTTAGAGAGCTCTTTTTAAAACATCCCATTTAGTTCAATCAGAAATATTGGGCTTGATTTTGGAATGCAGGCACCCAGGCTGGATGGTCAGTGCAACTTATTCTAGCCTCCAAATCTTAGAATTATTCTCTTTAGCAATGTAACAAAAAAATCCCGAACTCTGAAATTCTCACCAGGTCAGTGAGTGAGATTATTTATCCATGCAATAGATACCACACAGGAAGTAGCCCGGCAAGCTGTCCCAGTCCACTGGCTGTCTTCCCCACCCAGGTGCTTTAGCTTGGAGTTGAAGAGAGAATTTAGCTCTGGATCTTATTTCTTTCTGCTCTTTCTGGCAATTTGTACCAGGTCAACAGTGATTTTTATCCACAGGGATTTAGACTGAGTGCCAACTAATCAGCTCACAGGCTCCAAACAGCTAATAATGATCCTGTAGTTGTACAAATTTTAACTTAGTTATCTCTGATCACCAACAGATCCTCCAACTGGGATTTCATAGTGTGCGTCTCACTGCAATACAACAGGCCTCACGATTGGTTTCCTCACCATGCAACACCGGGACACAAGCAAGAACACACTTCCAACCCACCAACACCCAAATGCTGTATTCTCCAAAGACCAGATTTTCATGCTGCCCCCTTTAAAGAAAAAACAAGTCAAATCCACATGTATTAGCAGCCTCAGATAGGATCACAGCACTCAAGATGTGTCAAGATAGTCTACTGGCGGTCATGAAAAACTGCTCACCTGAGAGATTTGGGCAGATTCTCCTGTGAAATGCTTGCTACTAGCTTTTTGAACGCATGGAAAATTTCCACTTTGCAGATGCGGGACCTGATGGGAGAGAAGAAACCACGAATGCTAACTGACATCCTGAAAGCAAATAAAGCAACAGCTGTGCTGTGAAGGCCTGTACCTACACCTCCTAACTTGCTCCTACCCACAATTACAGAACTTTGCCGGGGAGGTTCTTAAAAAGACCAGTGTTCCTCCCCATCCAAACTTTGTATTTAAGAGAATTTAAAAGAATAAACACAAGCAAATAACTTAGTGCAATGCACTTAATTAAAAAAAAAAAAAAAAAGTCGATACTCCTGTATAAAAACAGTATTTTGCATCTAAGGTTGATGTGTTAAGTAATTTCCTGCATTCTGCTCCTTACCAAAGAAAAATCAGCTCAATTTACATTTTGGGGTACTGGATGGGGAGCTTGTTTTGCTATTTTGTGTTATTACCATATTCTGTTTTTATAAGCGACTTCCTTTGTAAACTTCCCAGAGACTTTTTTTGGGGGGGGGAGGGGGGGAGCATATAAATCTAACAAACAAGTTTATGCACTTCAAAATTCAGACACTTGCCCTAAGTTCTGGGGAAGTTTACAAAGTTTCTTCCTTGTCAAATTACTAAAGAATGGTAAGTATATTCATATTTAGAGGGGCAAAGCAGATCTAGGTTAGATCACAGGGAAAACTTTTTAACTGTGAGAACAGTAAAACAACAGAAAGTCTGCCTACAGAAAGTACGGCATTTCCTACGCTGGAGGTTTGTAAGAAGAGGCTGGAGAGACCTCCTGTGCAGAGGGTTGGACTACATAACCTTTGACATCCCTGCACACCTCTAAAAAAGAGAGATAAAATAGAACTGCCATGAGCTGTTCTGCTGGTTTAAGGGAACATTGATATTTTACTGATATCTGATTATCTAATTATGGGTTTACATTTTCAAACTACGTGTGCGCTGGAGAAACGAAAGGAGAAAGCAGCACAAAGGTTGGGTTGTGAAAAGTGTGAAGACATAGTAATTCATAAAGTCACCCTCAGGCACATACAGAGACCAAACTTTAGAAGAGTACAAACAGGGTGCACAATTTGTTTCATGGTTTATCACAGTTTGTTTCACAGTATCAGAGTCACTTCACTGGAATTTCCTTGTAAAGCTTCTAGCTGCGTTATGCAGAGGCATGAGAGTCAACAAGGGTGCCCTCACCTTTACAACTCGCTTATTAAGACACAACATCATAGAAAATTAGGGTTATAAAGGACTTTAGGGGGTCTAGTCTAACCCCCTGCTCAAAGCAGAACTGTCCAGCTCTACCCTGTTTGGAACCACCCTGCACAGAGTTAAAGGTTGCTTGCAAATCCCCCCTCAGTCTTCTCTTTTGCAGACTAAATATGCCCGGTTCCCTCAGCCTCTCCTCAAGTCCTGTCCCCAGCCCCCAAGCCATTCTCACTGCCCTCCGCTGGACTCTCTCCAATGTGTTCACATCCTTTCTGTAGTGGGGGCCCACATCTGGACACAGGACTCCAGATGTGGCCTCACCAGTGCCGAATAAAAGGAAAGAATCGCTTCCCTCGATCTACTGGCAATGCTCCTACTAAAGCAGCCCAGGATGCCGTTAGCCTTCTTTGTAACAAGGGCACGCTGTGCTGGCTCCTGTTCGGCTTATTATCCGTATACCAGCTAAACATTTCTGACAAAGGCCCTTTTTTCATCGCTTGAAGGATGGAAAGGGATCTTTAACAATTTAGCCTGTCCTGTTCCAACAGAGCTACCTGCCCTCCCCCCTTTCCCTTCTTTAAGTGACACACTGATAAAGACTTGCATTGTTTGAGGGGCAAGCTGTGAGGACATCCTCACCGGCACTAGGTCAGGCTGCAGATAGAACTTTTCAGTGCCCCAGTGCCTGTATGAGGACAGGGCCCTTGCAAGTTTTGTTACAGCAGAAGCTCAGCTGCAGGCACGGGTCCCAGTACTGAACATCAAACAAGGCAATAACCCGCAAGAGCATGGCAGCGCTCCAGAACCCTGTACTATCTGACACTAACACCGCCACAGAAAAAGGGACAAACAGGAATAATCATACCTCCCTGGCTCAGAGGGAAGCCAACAGGATGTGCTCAGTAACGGCCATAGTGCTGCGGTAAAGAACGGCTCATCAGTGGATAAGGACTGTGTGGTCCAGCTGGAAAAGGTCTTGCAGATGTCCATGGCACCTCTGAATCTGTCATGTTTGGGGCAGGAGGGCTCAGAGTCATGCAGCCAGGACACCTGTTTTTAACAGTTTGCTGTGAAGGTTGGCTATTTTTATCCTATAATAACCTACTGACATGGTTTCTGTATGCATGCTACTTGAATGTAGTCACAGCAGCTTAAGTAGGTTCGTTTCCATCTACAGTTTATCCGCTTAGACACTTTTATAGCCCTCATTATTGTAGTGCCTGTGCTCCAGTTGCACGGCTCTGCATTAGCACGTAGCCTTCTGTTTCTTTTAAGACAGCACACAGACACAAGGACGCACACACAAACGTTGGTCTGAGTAACAGAGGTGCCAACTCAGGGATTTCTGGATGCTCACAATCTCTGAAAGTATCTACCACATGCTCTCTATTTGTCTCTTTTCTGAACTGATCCAGTAATTCCAAATGCCTGAAACATTTCTGCAACCATTTATATGTACCCATACACAACCTCCCTACAGGGTATCAACACAAGCAATTTCAGAAAGATCAGAGTGTTGTCCTAGCTGTGATGGTCTCGGAAGGCATTTCTCAGCCTGTGGGTCATGACCCAAAACTGGGTCACAAGAACATATGAAAGGGTCGCAGGCAAACTGTAAAAATGGATTCTCTTTTAAAGGAGAATAATGTGGGAAACTATGGCTTTTCCCTTGCCAAGCTGTCAGAGTTCCAGTCTGCATGGAGCTGCTTGGGGCCCCTAGGCCCGACACCACCTACCGACACCTTGCCCCACACACTGAGGGGCTGGGGGCAGGGGGCAGCGGGTCGTGAGTGAGGGGCACTGGGTCGGGACGGGCCAATGATGTTTACAAATGGGTCCTGGTACAAAGAAGGTTGAGAACCCCTGGACTAAGAAATACATGAGAGGCAAGGATTCTTTTTTTTTTGCCTCCCTTTCATCACCTAACGGAGAAGTCAGGTCTCTGGAAGGTCTTACAGTTTCATAGTTGGTCGGGTCGGAAGGGACCCGAGCAGATCATCGAGTCGGACCCCTGCCGCGGCAGGAAAGAGTACTGGGATCAAGCGACCGTGGCAAGGTGGCTGTCTAGCCTCCTTTTGAAGACCCCCACGGTAGGATTGAGCACCGCTTCCCTTGGAAGTTGGTTCCAGCTCCTAGCCAGCCTGACAGTGAAGGAGCGCCTCCTGTTATCTAGCCTGAATCTACTACTCTCAGTCAACTTATGGCCATTGTTCCTTGTTACTCCTGGAAGCGCTCGAGGGAACAGGGACTTTCCCAGTGCCTGCTGGTCCCCCTTGGCCAGTTTACAGATGGCCACTAGATCCCCCCCCTCCGCCTTCTCTTGTGGAGGCTGAACAGGTTCAGGTCCCGTAGCCTCTCCTCGGAGGGCCTGCCCTGCTGCCCCCTGACCACGCGAGTGGCCTCCTCTGGACCCTCTCCATGATGTCCACATCCCTCCTGAAGTGCGGAGCCCAGAACTGGACGCAGTACTCCAGCTGTGGCCTGACCAGTGCCACATAGAGGGGGAGAATCACCTGCTCAAGATGCATCTGCGGATGCACGACAAGGTGCGGTTGGCCTTCCTGACACTGCCGGCCCATGTTCATCAGTATTGAATCCCATCCTGTTCTCATCCGCCCACCCCTGTAACCTGTCCAGATCCAGTTGCAGCCTGTCCCTCCCTCCTAGCGTGCCCGCATCCCCCACATCTTAGTGTCATCCGCAAATTTGAACAGGGTGCTTTTTCACCCCCTCGTCCAAGTCGCTGATGAAGACGTTGAACAGCGCGGGCCCAAGGACCAAGCCCTGGGGGACCCCTCCAGGTCGAAAACGACCCATCCACCACCGCTCTCTGGATCCAAGGATTTTGTGACCTGGTCGTAGAAGGCCACCAGAATGGTCTGACAGGACCTGCCCCTAACGAACCCATGTTGGTTGGCCCTAAGCATAATCTCCCCTGGTTGCCCCTTGCAGATGTGCATCTGGATAATTTTCTCAAAGAGCGTCCCCAGGACCAAGGTAAGACTAACAGGTCTATAATTTCCTGGGTCCTCCTTCCTCCCTTTTTTGAAAATGGGGACCACACATCTTAATGTCTGAAGCTCACCTAACATGTCTCCCAGCTAGACAGTGGGTCCAATAGAAGATACCACAAAAAATACTTGCCTCTAAATGATTTCAGAGGCATTCCACTGACAGAGCCAGTGTTTACCTTACACGTACCAGTGTCATAAGAACCTACACTTTAAACACCCAAGTACAGTAACACAAACCAATCTCTCATCACTGTGAGGAATTACTGAATGGGAGACAACTATTCTAAGAATCTGGAGATGTGCAAACTTTCCACCACATTAGAAACACCCACAAGAAGATCCTGACAAAGTACAAGATTCACCACAGGCAAGGGGGGCTTTGGTAATACTTGCTTATTGGAAAAAACTGGCTAGGTGGGAGAGCTGTTAGATAAGCTTTCAGGCACAAAGCGCCCACCTACTTTCGTGAGCCCAAAAGTTCATCTGGTATCTCCCCCAACTACACAAGTGGTCAAATAGAAGATCTCACCAAAAGAACCCCTTGCTCTCATATATTTCTGGATCATTGTGGCTACGAACGCTCCAAACCTACCACGTTTCACCACAAGAGCCACTCCCTACCCTAAGTCCCAATCCTGCAATCTGATATCTACAGGTTAGTCCCTGTTTTATATGGGGCCATCTGCAAAGAAAGAGGGATTCCAACCCACAGGACTGAGATAAACCAGGATGCCATAAAATGTAATTTTTCAATAGAATTTTAAAACAGCTTTTAAACAGTATTTTTTCCCCAACAGGTTTTTTAACCTCAGAAGTATCAAATCTTTCTTTCCTGTGCTGGCTAGAAGCCTCACTGGAGAGCTCAGAAAAAATGGAATGGGGAAATGTTTTCAGCCTTTAATTGAGGGCTTGGAGAGTGATCCTTCCACAAAGAAATCTTATTCTGTTTGCCATTTCAATTAAGTTAGGAATAACAAAGGCATGCAGAAAAGTCTATAAACAGACTTCATCTTAATTAATCAGGTTTCAGTTCCTGGTATCGGTACAGGATAAGAAAAAGCACCCTTTATTTTGAAGAACAGATTGTTGATGTTGTGTAGCAAGTGCAACGGGAAGAATGCTGGTAAGATTCAACCTCCTCCCTTGTTAAGAGACTCTACCTCAGCCTCACACACTCTCTCGTGCACTGTTATGTCCATCACCACTGGCCATGCCCACAGCCCACACTTCTTGCAGGGGAGTGGAAGGAGTGGGGGAACGGGGGCTGGAGATGTGCACAGATGACAGACACCCAGAAGGAGGTATGGATCCTGGGCCAGTACCACACCTGCTCTGGGGACTTCCAATCCCCTTCTTCGTTGTTCCCTGCCTGAAGCCATTGGCGGTCACATCCAGAGGCTGCTCGGGGACTGCACTCCAACCAATAGCTGTGGGAAAAGAAAAGATTACAAACAAGAGGACACACATGGCCAGGACTCTCAACACTGAGAAATAGGAAGGCTTTGTGTCCCGCTTCCCAGATAAACTACAGTAAACGAGAAAGATTACAGTGCTGCCCTGATGTCTATTTACTTCTACTGTTATCCACTCCAGAAAGAAACTTGGAAAATGGTGAGGTGCACAACTCAGAGGTGGTGCAGATCAAACCTGAGTATTTGCACTGAGTCAAATGATCAGCAATGACCTCGGAATGTCACATAGGTGCAAAATAACCGCACATTCTTTTTATTACAGTCACTTGTTAGGGTCCCCATACAAAGATAAAACCAGAAACCAGAGGTGGAAGAGACTGAACAGGTCCATCTAGGACCAGGCTTTCAGAAAGGTTTAACTTTACACATATGCAAAGAGATGCTTCTGAAAACCCCATTAAGAACAGGTGCTTAAACAGCTGGTCCTGGGGCTCCTCCATCACCCAGCTTGGGTTACCCTCCAGGATATTTTCTTTCATACTTTCGAAGGACTGAAGTACAAGATGCAGCAAGAGCAGAGAAGCTTGTCCTGAATTCAGCGGCCCACTACAAATTAAGTTACCTGTATAAAAACTCCTGGGCCTGTTATAGTCATTCCATATTCTCCCTATTACTTCCCTTCGTACCATCTTCAGTAATTCCTCTCCCTGCATAGTTTTCACGTACCTTGGAGACAAACCCTTAAAATTACATTAGCTACACCCACACTTGCACTTCTAGACCATAGAAAAGGAGGGTGGAATGCACCTAATGAGGTGCGCCATCACCTGTAAAACACCACACATTTTTCTCCAGTTAAAAATAAACTAGAAGCTCTACTCACACGTTAAGAGCCTAGGCTGTATTAGTCAGTTTAAAATTAACACAAAACCAAACATCACTTCACTAGAATTAGTTAAAAACAGTCTGCAGGGCTGTGTAATAGGAGCTACATTACCAGAAGCAGCTAGCAGACAGCCGAACTGCACAACAAAGGATAGCTTGATTGGTGGAACATGAAGATTATTAAAAAGAGAGGGTCCGTAACAGCCTTGGAATGGAGTGTTCAGAAGGGACGATGAATTCAATTAACTCCCTCACCACTGCCTGACTAGAAATGCAGGCAGATGGCTTTATTCTTTGGGTGAATCAAAGAGGAAGGTACATCCTGTGGTAGGAAGCCACCTTTTGTTTCTCCCCAAAATCTCTGTGTTGTGACAATGTGATTAGGATGGGCCCAGCAGAGGAGACGCACCTTACCCTATCCCTTTAGGCAACCTGAGCTGGCTACGTTCCTGAGGGAGGGGGAAACCTGCTCCCTCTGCGTACGGGACTGGTATCACCTACCTGGGTGAGGGGCTTCTACGTGGTGGGCTACAGTCTGCCCGGCAACTAGTGATGGATTTCAAATTGGTTGGCCGACAGCCAACAGGTGCTGGCCTCCACTGGACCAGGTGAACGAGGTCAGAGGGGCTATATAAGTTAAGACTGCCCAGGAGGAGGGGGCAGCAGCCATGCAGGGGACTCAGACTTAGAGAGGAGCTTGACCATCGGAAACTGGCTCTCTCCCCCATAACTCAAGAGCGAGGAACGGCTTGCCTCCAGAGGGCATCTCCAACAGCCTTGGGATGATGCTTGTGAGTAAGCTACTCGAGATCTGGTAGATATCTAGCTGGCAGTAACTCAGATGCGTGATCAAAAGGCTACCTCAGCCAGACTGTTTTGCTCTATCGGATTTCTATGAGACTGCTCTATCTTGTACCCTATTTTCACCCTACCCCTGTAATCAATAAAGTTCTCCTTTGTGACCGGTGTAGGAGACTTATTGAGGGGTGGGTCTAAATTATGCCTAAGAGGCCCCTTAGGTCTGCAGACTAAGAGGGACTTACCTTGTTGGCCCCCAACTCGGGGAAGTGCCCCAAGTGCCTGTCCTAGGTCGAGTACCCGTAGGACTATTAGGCCTGTGTTTCCCCGAGGACACAGGGCCGAGAGAGTCCCTTCTTGGGGTGGTGGCAACCTACGTTACCCCAAGGCTAGCACGTGTGCTCCAGGAAGGGGGTCAGCCAGACGCGAGGCACCCCAGGGAGGCACTCGGAGCCGGCAAGGTGGTCGGGCACAGGGAGGTGAGGGGCTCAACACAGGAGCGCCCCCTACTGGCCAGCCACACATCCCACCCACCCCACCCCTGTACATCAAACTAATACAGGCTTGTTAGACATTTTGCAGGAAAAGATTTTTCTCTCTCTCTCTCTCTCTCTGAGCACACCCCTGCACATGTGCAAGCACACCCCTACATTTTCACACTTTATTCCATTTTTCTCTCTCTCTGCTGCTACTCGCCTTCAATTTAAAGCTCTCTGGTGCAAGGACTGTGCATACTCCTATATGGACTGAAAGTGCCTACCACAGTGTTAGGGATGTAGTAAAAACAAAAACAACTTAAACAGTGCATCCATTTGGTCTTTGCACCATTTATCTGTGGCTCCTTCTTAAAATCTGGCTAGTCCCATGATGATTACTTCTGTTTTTCTCCAAATGTCCTCATACTTTTCTCTCTACTCTTGGCAATGTGGTACAGTTGCATCAAGCAGCAGAACAGGAGGAAAGCCTCCCTGCTCATGACTGCCATGGCTCTTAGCTGGTCGCAAAGACAAGTTTGAGCTGCATCACACCTCTAAGTCTCTCCCCCTCACTATTTTTCAGGTCTTTCTTTGAGTGGGTAAAAGGGGACTTAAACCTTAAACTGAATGTATTTTTCTTTCTAAATATAAACAATGTAAATTCAATCTGAAATTATGATGAACACCTACCATCAAGGTTTCAATTAACTATATTCTAATTAGGGCATTTAATTTAAAAATGAGTACATATTTTAAGCCAAGTTTTAAAGAAAATAAAACTACAGAACTGGTAGGGTAATAGTCTCTTCATTTCAGTCTACTCAGCTAGTTCAGGGGTGCTCAAACCCTGGTCTGCAGAGCCACCTCATCTGACCCCATGGGAATCCCCATAGATCTGGAAGTTTGGCAGAGAGAGTCACGGCAGCACTTGCTACTCCCCTGCTGTCAAATTTCCAAACCCATGGGGAGCCCCATGGGCTGGATAATGCAGCCTTGGACTCTATTTTGGGTGTGCACAGGGTCCAGATTTGATAAGCTGGAACGGGTAAAGGTGGCACAGGTCCAGCCAGGGTACACAGGTTCCAATCCAGGTGCATAAGTAAGAGGATGCAGTGTGGGGTTCAATCATGGCAAGACAGCACAGGACCCTGATAGCCCCCAGGGCCGATCCGGGTCACAGACCAGCCCTGCACCCTTCATCTTGACTGCAGGACCAAAAGGTAAAGCACCACTGCTCTAGTCCAAGGCAATGACTGATTCATTCAGACCAACTGGGAACTGAAAAAGCAAGAAAGCCTGTTTTCCTTTTCCATACAAAAGAAAAAACAAGGAATTAGATGGTGATATTGACACCTGCTAATACTAAACTCCTGAGAACACGGTGACATCAAATTTTTGGACTGAACCAATCTCTGATAATTCTTTTTTTACATATCCAGCAAACTTAAAAGATATTTTTCAGTAATAAAAATCCTTAAAATGCTGCTTTCTGCTTTTAATTTCAATTCCCATTCAAACGGCACTTTAAATAAATCACGCAAAGAAATTCATCTAGGCAATAACAACTGCATCATCTTCTAGCAAAATGTAAAAATTAAGAATCTGAATAAATGCATGTCAAGCTGCAGGATTTCTTAAATAACTATATATACACAGTACCTCCTCCTATTGGCTAAATGTAGTACTAAATTTCATGTAAAGATGATACTTAGTTGAAACTGAATGTGTTTCTATAATTACCAACAAATGAGAATCACATTCTCTTTCAATAATAAGTAAAATATATATATTTTTATCCAGTGCATATTTTATATATATATATATGAAACAAACATTAAAATAAGTTATTAAATAAATGTTTCCTGCTGCTGTTTTAAATTACTGGATTTGACACTAGTCCTGAAATAAGTGAGCAGTAATTATATGGAGGATGGCAATAGATTAGTCTCTCTGACCCCAGGGGACAGGACAAGGAGCAACAGTTTTAAATTTCAACAAAGGAAATTTAAGTTGGAGATCAGGAAAAACTCTCTCACTGACAGTGGTTAAGCACTGGAATGGGATACCCAGAGAAGTTGTGAAATCTCCATTTTTTAATGTTTTTAAGAATAAGCTAGACGGACATCTGACTAGGATAGTTTAGACAAGGATGATCCTCCTAAAGTCCATGCCAACCCTACTGTTCTATGATTCTATAAAATCTATTATTTTAAATATATGTGATTTAAACCAAACCACCTTGTTTCTCTCCCCCACTGAGCATCTGTTTCAGATTTTTTCCCCCAAATGAACTGACTCACTTCCTCCCAGACAGATTTTATTTTGGTTTTGCTGCCTAAAATTTCTAACTCTCTCTCTCTCTACTTCAGGCATTCCAAGTGCTCATCATGATAGTGCCTAAATATTTGCCTCCCTGACATTTCTTCTAGTTTACTAACATCAGTGATTTTCACGAACATGCTATTTATTCCCCGATTCCTCTCCATCAATGAAACTGTTAAATAAAACCAGTCCTAAACACATATGTAAGACAACCACGTGGCTAGAAGTAGCTGTTGTCACTGCCTTTTGCTTATAATCCTTCCTTTCATGTTAGCTTTCCTGCATATACTCCATTAAACATATGCAGTTTAAATGTTCCATATCAGTTTCAATTAAGCCACAGACGTGCACAGTAGCAGATGGCACATATGTGAAGCCACCATTTGAGAGAAACTGCACAATATCACACAAATGGTGGTGATTACCTTCTGGCACTTTGCAAAGCCACAAGTAATCAATTTCAAAAACCACATGATGATCAGCACAACTGACTCACTGCTACTGATGATCAGTGCAGACATCCCAGACTCCTGCCAATAAAACCTCTCTCCTGCACGACTCTGTACTCTCTCCACATACAACAGAGCTCTGAGCAGACTGACAGCATAACAACTCTCACATTCATCACCAAAGAGAAAGGAACAAGCAGCTTTTTCAATGCGATTCTTCTCCTTCTACTGCCCTCAGATCATGGCGCTTTCCTTTATCTCTTCTCAAACTATAAATGCTTTAGAAATCAACCAAGCTTGACACCAATACACATTCTGTGAACTGCCAAAAGGTGACTACAGGCATTGTATGAATAATTAACATTATAATGATTCATGATTAAGTTTTGGCACGAATTACTCTCATTTGTGGCTGTGGTAGGGGCTAAGGTCAAGGAAGCCAGACAGAGTTAACATTTCCAGCAAGTGTAGCCAATCCAGATACTTTGCTGTTTGGTCTTTGCACGTATTTAATGAGTCAAGTAACTCACCTGCACCACAAGGAACCAGTTTTGCTTTGCTGCTCTCATGAAGTGCCTGGACTGCCCCATGGCTATATTCAAACTGAAGACCTGACGGCAACATTTTCACCTCCTGTACCTGGAAACCCTCTGGTAAACGTGAGACGTGCTGACACCTGCAGTAAGCATGTAAGAATGCAGGTGACTTGGTCTGATTGCAGGCAGCTCTCAAGGGAGAGCCCTGCAACCTCCATTTAATTAAATAAATAAAGGCAACAAACTTACAACAGATACAAGGCTATACTTTTTCAAGCAACATGAATTTAGTCTGTAAAATTCAGTGCCAGAATGCACTAGCACAAGAGTGACTTTAAAACTGATCTAGTTATAAAATGGTGGACATCCCTAACTTTAGCATATAAAATGTCAACCTTGTTCATCAACGATGAAGTTTCAGTCAGTAACAGGCAGCTTGCACCTCTAAATGACCGACACCAGTTAAAATCTATATAGACAAGACGTGAAGCTGCTTAGGCATGTCTATGTTAGACCCTGCTTGCACTCATCAGCTACCCTGGTAACCGTGCTGGCAGCACCATCCACTGGCAGAGCCAGTACCCTACTATCTAATCCCTCTCCTCACCCGTTTGTATTACACAACCCTGAGGCAGAGTGTAATGGAATTCAGAGGAAGGTTTACCTTCACAGTATCTGATGAAGTTACAGCTGTTCACCAGAGCTCCCCAAGGGATAGATAACAAGGTCTAACAGCCACAAACTCCAAAAAGGCCAATGTAGACTAGACATAAGGAAAAAGTTTTTTACGGTGTTAGTGTCCAGGGTCTGAAACAGACTCTCCCCACAGAGGTGGTGCAAGCACCTGCTCTGGACTCTTTCAAAAAACACCTGGATATTTTTCTTGCTGGGAGTCATTTGATCCCACCTGACTTCCTGCCTATGGCAGGGGGGCTGAACTCAATCTCACAAGGTCCCTTCCAGCCCCTAACGTCTATGAAATCTATAAAGTGGGCTGCTGCTTATGACAATTTATGCATCTGATTTAGTTAGTCTATAAAGGGCAAATCTCTCCTGCTTCTGCTGTTCTTGTTTTTATCACATATCTACTGTTGTGGGGTGCATGAAAAGAGATGGAAGATCTCCACTCAAATTCTTCCCTCAGCCACTGACCATTGCAGAAGGGGACTGTCACTGACTGTCCCACATGCACTGTAGCAGATGTTGTGCATGCACATTCAAGGCTGTGAAGAAAAACTGCAGTCTGTTTGGACAATGAAAAATCAATGCTTGTGCTGAAATGCTACATAAAGTATTTTATATGAATATTTTTAATGGTTTAAAAAGAATCTTGTTTAGGTCAAACATATGAGTTAGGACATGCCTTATCTACACTTCCCCAGGAAGCCTTTACTCTGTGCCTTCAAGCAACTACTTTATGCCCTGAACAAGGAAGGCATTATAAAAAAAAAAAAAGACAGCATGTAATCCCATAAGTATATATATACTTAATGCTTAAACACAAATGTTTGTGTAGGCAACCACACACCTGGCATGCCTGACTTCCAACAGTTTGCTTTGCAACCTGAAAGGAGAGAGGGTGAGCTCCCATTCTGCAGGGAAGGCATAGAGTAAGGAGGGGCCCAGGGGTGTTGAGATTAACAGGGATTTGCACAAATTTATTCTGTGCTGCCTGCACTGCAGCTGCTAATGGTGAATCTGGCAAATTCATTCTGAAAGGCAGTGGTACCTTGGAGATGATGTGGATTTGCCACGATAGAGAACGGCTCCTCTCCCAGTGTTACCTAGTGTGACTTCAGGTACTTCACACTTAAAACAGTATGAAGAATATGGAGAATTTTTGTAAAAGGACCCCCCACATGCTTTTATACTGCAACTTCCCAGAACTGAAGGGGTTAATTACTTTTCTGGGACCCAGAATCAGAAATGGCTGGGTTGGTATAACGAACTATCAAGAGCTGTAAGCACATGAATGGAGCTACCCTTGAGATACAATGGAGGGTCATCCTCCAGACATTAATGTTAATGACCCACAGCTAGAGCATGAAGCCAAAACATAAGGTGTCAGGGACTGTAACAGGAGTTCTACTGGGGAGAGCTGCAATGCAGGCAGCCAGGTCCTACTCCCTGCCAAGACACTGGTGTGAGCCTTGCTTTTCCATTCCAAACTGAAGGGCCCAAAAATATAGCATTCCACTTTACTTCAAGCTGCCTTGTTTTTCTGCCAACACTGGGGTGCCAGAGCCGTCAATAATAGGGAGGCCAGGTTCTTTTCGTCTGGCTGAAGGAGCCACAGTGAGGAACAGCAGCGATAAGGTCAGAGCCCAGCCTCTGAGCAGCAGAGTCCAGGGCTCCCTCCTGCCAAAAGCAGAAGCCTGGCCTTGTTCTTAGAGGTGCACTTCCCAAGAGACCGTGTGGTGGTCAGGGGCAAGCTTGGGCTGCAGATCCATAAAAGTGCAGAATGACACTTGCCTACACTCCAAGGTGGAGACACAGGACCTTGTTCTGTTGCCTGGTGGTTTTACAGAACTAATGCCACTACATGCACGATATGATGCAAGACCTCATGGCCATCCATCGTATCATACATGTATGATACGATGCAAGAACTCATGGCTATCCATCCAACTCCACACTTCACTATTGTTGTTGCAGGGAGTGCTAACATACAGTATCTTTTATGTAAGCCACCATAGCATTAAGTGTCATTATCTTAAAAATTCCTAAAAATGATAGTTTCATAGTAGGTAGGGTCAGAAGGGACCTAAGCAGATCATGTAGTCCGACCCCCTGCCACGGGCAGGAAAGGATGCT